GAAGGACATTTATGGTATGTGTGTGTGTGTGTGTGTGTGTGTGTGTGTGTGTGTGTGTGTAGAGAGCGGTAGAATAAAGACGAAAAAGGTATATTCAAGACCCTGTTTAGCTCAGTGATTCTCCATCTCAACATTAGAATCATCTACTCAGTTTTAAAAGTCCCGATGCCTAGGCCATACCCCAGATCAATTAAATCAGAATTTCTAGAAATGAAACTCAGGCATGCCTATTTACTTAAGTCATCCCAGGTGATTACAACCGCAGCCAAAGTTGCAAACCCTGCTTTTACTGGTAGGTGGACTTCTAGCGACCTTCTCAAGATGATGGCTACCGGACCTCTTCCGTCTTTACGTGCACTGGCAGGGGCGGGCTTTCCAGGAGCGCATGCGTGTAATGTCTCTTCGCTCCCAGCTCCCTACTCCTTTTCCACCCCGCCTCCATTTTGTTCGCGGACGCTGGGGACGGTGGGAGCAGATCCATTTCCGGGTTGGCAAAAGGGGCGGCGGCGGCGAGAAAGGGAGCTTGCCGAGCAGGGCCCGAGCAAGACTGGACGAAGCCGGAGCGGAGGTGGCGGAGGACTCGCTCCCGGAGCCGCTGCGGCCAGGTCAGAAAGAGGCCAGGGAGCCTGGGTCCCTAGCTGAGATGACCTGCGGACCTGAGTGGGAGGGAGATCCGGGAGAGGGGGGGTTGGGGCGGGGCTTGAGGAGAGAGAGGTATTGGAGGAGGGGCCTGAGAGAGAGAGGGGTCCTTGGGGCGGGGCCTGAGGGGAGGGGAGCATTGGGCCTGGGTCTGAGGAACCTGGAGGAGAGGGAGCGTGGCAAATCTAAGTAGGGAGGAGTGGTCGGGAATTGGTGTGAGGCGTTCGCTGACTGTGAAAATGGGGAGGAAGGTTATTGAGAGGCAGGAAATAAGGGATCCTGAAGGGTTGGGTAAGGTGAGTAAGACGGTAACTCGGTGAGGAACGAGAGGTAACCGTGCGCAAAAAGGGAGATGGGGAGGGAGGACCTGTTGGGAACAGGTAATTAACTGGATGCCCCAGGTGAGGAGGCCAATATGACATTTTTGGGGACTGAGTTGAGTGAAAACCAATGGCTGAGAGGATGACTCGGGAAACTGCCTACACTAGAGGGAATCTGGAGAGCGTTAATTGAGAAGAAATCAGAATTGAGTTAAAGATTGGATTGAGAAATGCGCATGGCCACAACCTAGAGTTGAGGGTTCAGGTTGGAGTGGTGCGAAGTGAGGGAAGGTAGAAATCTTCAAGTGTTCAAGTGTGTGTGTTGTTGAGTTACTGGTCAGGAAGGAAAATTTCTTAAAGGTAACACTGGGACCGAGGAGCTGGAAGAACTGATGTTTACTGGAATTCACATTTTTAAAGGGGTTTGAATCATCTGTTACTGCTTTGGGCTCCCCTAGGATCCACCTCCCTTTTCATGCTGTTCTTCTTGCCATACAGTTTCTGAATGACTTACTGAATGTTTGTGGTGACTTCTTTCCTTTTACCAGAGACCCTCGGAATAAGGACCGTGGATTTACTGAGTAACTTTGGGGCAAATCATTAAACTGTTTCATTTTTTTCCTTTTGAAATATAGGTTTGGCCCCTCGCTGCCTCTAGAAGATTGTGTTAACCAAATGGGATGTTTAAAGTGGTTGCACAGAAGTGACCTCTGAAAACAAAATTGAGATAGTGATATTTAGAAGACATGTCTTTCTTAGTTTCTTCCTCTCAGCCTTGCTGCATTTTTTTGTGCTAGGGAAGAGTTGGTTTTGATTTGATACGTGTCCAATTTTCTAACTTTTCTTAACATCAAGTTTCAGTGGCCAAAAATTTCATATTATTGTGTTACATTGTATTGGCTGCCATTAAGATAAAGATGGAAAGTTAGAGTTAGGGGTGAATGAAGTCTGTTGCGGGAGACTGTGAGAGAATTCAGTCTAGCCACCAGAGTATTTTACTCTTTAAAAACATTGAAGAAAAAAATTTCCATTATTTTACTCTTGATAAACACTGATTTTCCTCATGAACTCTTTGAAAATTCACTGAAAAATAATATTTTAAAATATTAATTTATTTTTTTTAATATTAAAAAAAAATAAAATTTTTTCTTTGATCCAGTCACTTTGGCGCTGTTGCCAGTTGGTGGGGACGAGTGTGCGTGTGGACAATTTTAACTTCTTTCTTGTTAATCCTTTGCAATCTTGACTGTTCTAGCTTTTCCTTTGGGCATAATACCCTAAATATTTTGCCCATAAGTGAACTTATTTAGCTTAGTGTTCCTGAAAGTCTTGGCATTTCTGAAGTCTGACGTGGATTTGCTTAAGAGGGGGCAGTTTCTAATTCTACCTCACACTTGATATCAGAGTAGTGTTTACCTTAGTTGGTACTGATTAGTTACGTGATGTCAGCACAAAGGTGAAATGTAAGGGAAGGGGGAGGGTGTTGAGAACGGTGGCGTTTTCAAGTTTTTACCTTTAAGGAGGAAGAAGAGCCCTGTTCCTGTTGAAGAGAGAATTTTCAGATGTTCTTTCTTGACTCCTTGGGCTCTTCGGGAGAATAGCCAGGCCTCCTTGAGTCTGTTTTCCTATTGCTCTTGAAGAGATTCTGAAGAGCTAACTGCAGGCTATGAGGTATATACACTTACTGGGAGTATAAACCTGCTTAATTAATATTTTTGCTGTAATTTCAAAAAGACTACAGTGTGTCTTTTCGGTTTGTTTTTAAAGTTAAGTTACAGAGGCTCAGAGTTTTGGGGAGGCTTTGTTATAGTCTGCTTGTTTAACAATGATTTTCCATTTGTTCCTATCCTGTTATGTTTTTCCATTGCTCTACTTGAGCCAGTCCTAAGTGGAAATGGCAAATTACATATTTTTTTCTCTCCTTTTTAGTCTCTGGTGGACATCTTGTCTGTGTCACAGTTTGATACCACCAAATTGAAAGGATTCTTGACTGCTTCAAATGGGGCGGGTGTCAGAAGCTGAGCTGGGTTTCCTGGGCCAGAGAATGGACTCTGTCAAAGCAGAGAATAGTTGCAGAAACACAAACCGGGACCTTGAAGCTGTGACTAACATTTTGGCAACATGCTTCCCTTTGCCAAATAACTTCTTTTCTTCTTGAGTGTGATTGTTGATCTCCTTCTCAAAGTAGGCTCTTGTTGCTACTGTTCCTCACACAACTCCAGAGCAGAAGTTGGCAGAGTTCCGGTTGACTGTCTCTTGAGGGATATGCCCCGGATTAGAGTAGATGGGGTGTTCCATGTCAAAATGAGGCTCATTGGCAGATCCTGAGGGCTGTTCTGCAAGGAAATAGAGGCAGTACTCTTTAGTGAATGTTTTTGCACTCCTTTATGTTTCTTCTAAATTCAAATCTGTTTCTTATTCATCTAGTGATTAAATGCAGAACCATTGCCTTTGTCTAGCTTTGAAAGTCCAGGGCATTGAGAGAGAGTATTTCAGACATTTTTTTTTCTTCTTCTTTTTGGCCCCACTTTCACTTCCAAGCCTTTGAGCCTGGGGAGCTATAGGCTAAATCCACGAGCACTTCTTAGTGTATTATAGAAGGGTATTTAAAATGCTGAACAGAACTTTATGGAGAAAAACAATGTTAGTAGGGGAAAAAGGCGATACATTTGCTAATGCCTGTGTCAGTCTTAGAGCTCTTAAGATTTTGGCTTAATGCGTGGAAAGAGCCTGTGGAGGCAAATGTGTTATCAAATTGGGGAGCAAGGAATTGGCTTCTAACTTGTCATTTAGGCTAGGCAAAGTTCTAACAATTTAGAATGCTGTACTGAAGACATAGTTCTACTTAGTAAATGCCCTTTTCATAGTAAATGCCCTTTTCAGTGTGTTCTACTTAGTAAATAAATACCCTTTTGTCTTTCAGGGGATAATTAGTTGAAGATAACTATCTCCGATAGGTCTTGGGATGGATTATGAAGATCATTTCTTATAGCATATGACGGTGGCCCTTCTAACATTGGAGACCCCAAAACAGATCCTCTTTTTGGTGGCCCTGGATTTGGCTTTCTCCTGCCATCATTTGTCTAGCCACATATTCTGTTTCTGATATGCATGTTTGGGAAACTAACAGGTTCAGATCCAAAGACTTTAAATCTGGTCCAGGGTCTTGATAACAAATATGATTATTGGAGTTGTGTTTAATCACGTCTCGGATCTTTCTTTCCTGAAGATTGTCTTGAAGTTTGGCAAATCTATGTTTCTGAGGAATGTGTGTACCATTCCTCCCCGTTCTTAAAATTGGTTTTCAAAATAATTTTAGTTTCTTAAACTCTCTGGATTCAAATTAAGCTCCATTTAGATTTTGAGGACCCTCAGTGAAAGTAATTTGTTTTCAGTCAGTATTTATGATATTTCTTCAGTACAGATTCACCAACCTACTTTCTATGCTTATAGAAATACTGAATCCAATAATGTCCCGTCCCCCCCCCCCAATAATCCCTCTGACTGTGAAAACATTCTTATGTTCAGATTGGGACAACTGGTTTAAACAAAAAATGGAATTTTCTGCTAAAGTGATGCAATGTAGTATGGGGCACACTGCGCAAGATTTGTGAATAAGTGAGTTTTCCTTCTTTCCACTTCCGCCCTCCCAGTGTTCAGTTAATAGGCAAGATGTTTGTCATCAGAGATCTAAGTATGAGATATTTAAACTCTTTCTGTCACTGTGTTAGAAATAAGGACAGGAGTGTCTTTAGCAACTTTCATTTATTTTTTATTTTTATTTTTTTAGCTGCGCCATCCTGCCACCTGTTGGCAGCTCAGTGGCAGCTCAGCTTGGGCCGGGAATTGAACTGGCGACCCTGTTGCTCAGAGCTCGCACTCTTGAAGCAACTTTTATTTTTTAAATAGATAATATGTTCACATGGTTCAAAATTCGAAAGGTAAAAAGGGTATACAGTGAATAGTCTACCTTCTACCCATAGTCTGCTGTCTACTCATTAATCCAGTACATCTTCTCAGAGGCAACTAGTATCAGTTTCTTGAGATCCTTTCAAGAGATACCATGTACATATAAAGCAAACATATATATTTCCTCGTTTTGTTTTGTTTTAAACAAGTGTAGCACACTGTTAATATGCTCCACTTTTTCTTTTTAACTTATTTTGGCAGTCATTCTATATAAGCAATATAGAGGTTTGACACCTGCCCTCTATTGGTAGATATTTTAAATGTTTCTGGTCTCTTGCTGTTATAAACTGTGGTCCAGTGAAGAAGAATATATGTTTGGCCCTTTATGTGTGTGACAATATCTGTAGGGTAAATTATAAGAAGAGTTGCTGAAGCTGGTTATTTTTTATTTTTAGGCTCTGTGAATTCATTTATTTGACAAGAATTTTTGAGTTCCTGTGTACCAAGCACTGCTAGGTGCTGGAGACTTAGCAGTGAACAAAACTGACTCATTCCTTGCATTCACGCAGTTGTGGTCTAGTGGGGAAGACATCCATTAAACAAACAAATAATTAGTTACTTTCACTATAAATGCTGTGGAGTGAGCTATTTGGAAGCCTAACCCAGGTTGATTGGGAAGGCGGGCAGTCAAGGAAGGTCCCTGTGGAATTGACTTTTAAGGCTAAAACCTAACTAAT